GGGCTCTTCGCTTACAAGACTACGACATCCGTGTGCTGTACCGCAACGGACGACAGCATGCTGACGCTGATGCCCTCTCACGCTCCCCTCTACCTCAAGACGGCGTGCCTTGCTCAGTAACCTCAATTGCTGTATCTGCCATCGATGTTGACATCCTCGCTACCAAACAGCGAAAGGATAATTGGATCGCCCCGCTGATTGACTTGCTCTCTGATCCGTCCGCAACACCATCCACGCGTGCCTTGCGTCGTCAAGCTCACCATTTCGCCATCCGTGACGGCCTCCTACACTGACGCAATTACGACTCTGATGGCCGACAGTGGTTACTCGTCATACCCCGCAGTCTGCACTTGGAGAGATGTGAATCTTTCCATTCTGATCCGCAATGTGCGCACTTTGGGGCACATTGCGCAAACTTACCACCGCATTCGACAACGCTACTTCTGGCGCGGGATGTACCGCTACGTGCAGCAGTTCATTCGCTCTTGCCTCACTTGCCAACGCCGTAAACCGTCAGCCCACACGTCGCACGCCGGGCTGCAACCGTTACCTTGCCCTGACCGTCCCTTTGGGCGCGTAGGTATCGATTTGTATGAACCACTTCCTCTGACGTCAGCTGGTAACCGCTGGGCCATCGTTGCCGTTGACCATTTAACGCGATACGCCGAAACCGCCGCTCTCCCTGCGGCTGCTGCGCGCGATGTTGCGTCCTTCCTGCTGCACCGATTCATACTGCCCCACGGACCACCCCAAGAGCTTCTCAGCGATCGAGGCCGTGTCTTCTTGTCGGAAGTCATCGAAGCCATTCTGACGGAGTGCCATTCTGTCCACCGCAAAACTACTGCTTACCACCCACAGTCGAATGGCCTCACCGAACGCTTTATCCGCACCCTCGGTGACATGCTTTTTATGTACGTCGCTGCCAACCACACTAATTGGGATAATATACTGCCCTTCGTCACCTACGCCTACAACACCGCCCCTCAGAGCACGACTGGTTTTTCACCTTTCTACTTGCTGTACGGAAGGCACCCGTCGCACACCATGGACACGATACTCCCGTACACGCCGGATCCATATGAGTGTACACCTATTTCCGAGACAGCCAGGCTTGCTGAAGAGTGTCGCGAGCTTGCCAAGACTTTTACGACGCAAGAGCAAGAGCGGCAGAAGAGTATTCGTGATGGCTCCACCACTTCTGAGCCCACGTTCCTTCCTGGTGCGCTTGTATGGCTCTCGATCCCGACCTCTGTAGCTGGCCTCTCTTCCAAACTACTTCCCAAATACGAAGGCCCCTACCGTGTCATCGAGCGCACCTCACCCGTCAACTATCTGATCGAACCCGTTGAACAATCTTCGGACATGCGCCGCCGTGGGCGAGACATCGTCAACGTGGAGCGCCTGAAGGCTTATTATGACCCGCTCATAGTAACAAGCTGTTAGGTCGCCAGGCGGCTCCCTCTTCGACCCCGGGGTAATTGTAGCGAAGCCTCCCAGCTATGAAATGGGTCGAACTCTTGAGTACCTCCTAGTGGGGCTACCCAACAAGGACGCCGCTCGCACTGAGAGCCCGTGCTTGGACGTGACTGTCGCCATTGTATATTCTCGCTCGTTGCCGGTTAATAAATGCCTTAACAACAGTACTAGTTTATCATCTAAGGGCTCGTTCTTTTTAAACTAATGCCATAGTGGTTCAGTTATTGTAGCTTGTGAATTATTTTTTAGTAATGTGTTTATAACATTAACTCAAGACATCATATGGCAAGAAATAACTATTCTTTTTTGTAAGTCCACGAAAAGTAAGGTAGGTTCAAGTAGCTGTATTGTAGTCTGTCCTTTTGAAATGAACTGTTTCTTCTCTGGTGAGCACAACCTACAAGAGGCCATCAACAATGTGGTAGCTCTCAAAAACACGGCCATCTACTGCTCTTAAGACACCACACCAAAATACTAAACAAATGCGACTGCTTGATTGAAAGCGCAGGAAAATAAGGCAATCTCAGCTCACAAAAGATGCTTGCTACCATCTACCATCTAGTTTGAAATATCACATCTGCAAACTTGCTGAAAATAAAATTACTGATGACATTTATGCACTATATAGAAAAACACCCTTTAATAAAAAAAGGTTGTTAAACCTTTGGTCATGAAAAGCTTTTCAGAAAGTGGACAGTGTGAGCGCATTATTAGCTGAGATGTGATGGCGTGATGAGTTAAGGTCATCAAAAACACCTACGAGTCAATGACACTTAAGTGGCTTAAGAAGTAAGGGATTATTTCTCTCTTAATGAAATCATGCGCTAAGAAACCGCCTGTTGAGCCAATACCTTACGTTCACAAAACTTAGATTTTTTAATCATGCAGCACCACTCGCTTGTGGTAAAAGGTTACCGATTTATTATGGCTCTGATTTGTCGGTAGGCTCTGGAAATACGATTGAAGATGTGGATCCTATGCTGCTTTCCTCCCACATCGCAGTGCATGTTGACATCAACAAGAGTCTGGATGTCTTTGGTGTCTGAACTCCGGAGAAGACATTCACTTATTGATTAGTCAAATGCCTTTACAACAAAATGGCCTGTATAACTGAAAATGGCTAAAGTCCTGAATGAATTCTTATATTAGTTATGCTGATGCCTGTATGGGGAATATCGCTGCACTGCGTTTGTTTGTACAACAAAATGCTTTGGCACACCTTGCGACTGATTTGTTGCTGTAAAATGAACTCACCAGTAGCAACTGTGCCAGTGCCTTGTACAGTGACCATTAAGAAATGCCATACCAAGAAAATCCTGCACATCCAAATTCCTATATAAGCATGCACCCCGCCATGGTGGTCTAGTGCCTAAGGTACTTCGGTGGCTGACCTGCAGGTTGCGGGATCGAATCCTGGCTGCATTTGCCCTGCAGAGTAAAAACTGGCTGCTTGCGTGCTCTACACAGAGGTGGCCATGGCTTTACTTGCATTAAAAACTGTTAGTGACTGCTACTTTAATAGCTACAGGTAATATTGCCATAACTAACAGCCGTAGCTCTGTACTCCCAAATTTTTGGCTTCTTGTTTTTTACCGTTAATCTTTTTTCTTTGACCTTTGCATGTTGCTTTTTGTCATGTCACAACAGGACTCATGTCTTGCAGCATTTTTGATAGTAGTGTTAGCCTGAATGTCACTGTATTTACTACCATGATAAATATATCAAGCCGTGTTTCGGTGAAAACTGTGAATGCCATTTGTTCACTCTTTCGCATGGGTTGTGGCAAGTAAGTTTGTCTATTTTTATTTGATTGTACTGCTTGTCCTGATTGTGCTGCTGATAGGACAACATGGTACTAGGAAGTGTGCCAGCTTAAGTGCAAGCTTTTCTCATCCCTTTTAAAGACTAATGATGCCAGTTCAATATATGTGCATGCTACCAGTCTAGGCGACATGGGTGTTAGAGGCCCCTGTCTGTCCACTTCTTTATGTATACGGTAGACTCGCAGTAAACCGAAATCTTAAACGAAACTGCTGCTTAAACAGAACAAATGGTCCTATTTTAAAGCCTTATTCATCTCTCAGTAAATGGAACTCCTATTAAATGGAACATATTTTCATGGTCCCTTCAGGTTCCGTTTAGCCCTGCCGCAGTGGTCTAGTGGCTAAGGTATTCGGCTGCTGACCCGCAGGTCGCAGGATCGAATCCTGGCTGCATCTTTGATAGAAGCGAAAATGCTGTAGGCCTGTGTGGGGTCATAAACTACCTATAGGGGTCATAAACTACCTATTGCAACAAGAAAATTAAGGTGCAAAGTTTTTGTGTCAGGGCTTCCTTAAGATTAGCATGATTTCATTTTCTGTGTGTAGTGTGTTAGTGGCTGGCCTGCATAAGCTCTAAATGCCTGTTATGCATGAATTGCACAGTTACAAAGCTGGTGGAATCATTCTTCCTTGTTTAAAGTATATCAGTGTATATCTGGGTTTGAAAGTTACTTCTTATAAGTGAGCACTGAAGCCTTGCATGTCATTTTGTTGTTTGACACGAATAGTGATGATGAAGTGGCTCTATAAAAAAGAAGACAAAGGTTTCTTAGTTTTCTTATGCAACTGCCAGCTTATGTTATGTTAATTAGCAGTATGAAGTAGTTGCCTCAAATTAGGAAAGCCAAAGCTTAGCATAGCAAGGTATTTGCATAACTTTGCATAATAAGGTATTTGCATCAGGTGAAAGTTTGCCCATTTTTATATTCCCTCATGACCACTGCCTATCTATGTTGATCACCATAATATCTGAGCGAGCCCCCCCCCCCCCCCCCCCCCCCCCCCCGCTTCTTATCTTGAAAGATAATAAACAAGATTTGAAGAGCTGGCCCTTGTTTGTGGATAAATTCAAGATAGCGGCAGAAGAGCCTCTAAGAAGAATCCAAACTTGTGCTTATACTGTAGTGTTTTATTACCAGCATTTACTTTTTTCACGAAACCAAAGGCTATCCTAGTATGAAATTTCATGTGTTGAGGCAAGGCACGAAATTTTCCAACAATTTATGTCAACTCACTATGCAACCTTGAGGCAACACACTAATATTACTGAGACATCGTACATACATCTACAGACTCTTAGAACTTGTGTTCCTTGGAACTGCTGCTGCAAAATTCTGTATCAGAGAACTGGTTGAAAAAAAAAAAAAAAAAAAAAAAGCTAAAATGGAGAGGGGTCCATATGCTCAGTCATTGCTGAATATTTCAAATCTTCCAAAATGGGGAAGGAGGTGTGTGCTTTGGTAGGGACGCTTGCTCGGGATTTTACGGTAGTGCCATCCATTTTGTAGACTACTTAGACGTTTCTACATGTGCAAAATTTGAGAACAGCATTTTGCTTCTTCAATATTCATTTCAATAGTGGAAATATTTTAAGGTTGCTGCTGTAATTTTTACAAGCTCCTGCTTCACTTTCTGAAGATATGTTGCTGCCTTTTGTTTTTTTTTGTTTGTTTTTCTAAATAAATTCATTTTTTACTCCAGACACTCAAGAAGCTGTACTTGAGCCGGCATGACCTGACAGATGATCCTGGCATCCTTGTGCTTCTAGGCTGTGGCACTGTGAGCAGCTCCTGTGGGCAAATTGCCAGTTATCCATTGGCCCTTGTAAGGACAAGGCTGCAAGCACAAGGTGGGCAATGTCATGCAAAAAAGGATGCTTCCAAAAGTACCTACACGGTGTACGTGATTTCGTGCACATTTTATTATGACCTTAATATACTTGTGTTTTCATATAGGTTAAATTAAACTCCTCTTCTTATACATTCGGGTGTTTTTTGCCTTGCCAGGGATTTGGTCGTCAACAGAACATCTGTTCATCGCACTGTAGCTGGCAGGTTTTATTGACCTGTGTGGACTACAGTAGAATTGCTACAGTAGAATTGTTGTTCATGCTTTTCAGCTCTTGCCATGTTCATGACATTACACTCGTCAAAACGAAACTAATGGTTGTTGTATCTGTTATGGTTAAAACTATGTTTATGCTGGTGCACTCACTGGCAGTGATCACATAGTTCTGAAGGCATTTGGTTCATGTGGATTGAGTCAAAATAAGCTTTACTATCTGTCAAAACTGTTGTGTAGAAAATTATGGTCACACCCCGCCGCAGTCATCTAGTGGCTAAGGTACTCGGCTGCTCACCCGCAGGTCGCAGGATTGAATCCCAGCTGCGGCAGCTGCATTTTCGATGGAGGCGAAAGTGTTGTAGGCCTATGTGCTCAGATTTGGGTGCACATTAAAGAACCCCTGGTTGTCGAAATTTCCGGAGCCATCAACAACGGCATCCCTCTTAAGGGGGCAGACTGGTCTTTGGAACCAAAAAGTGACAAAAAAATTCAGTTTTTAAAACTGACATATTTGGTTTCTGCAAGTATTTTTTTCTCTCTCTGCTAATTTTCACACACTAGGAGATGGTAATTTTTTTTTAAATGTCATTCTAACTGTCCAGATTCTTGGTGGTGTTAAAACAGAACCTGCAAAACAATGGGGAACCGGCTTCGAGGCTTCTTTATAATTGGTCGGCATTTGTGTTAGAAGCTCTGCTACGAATTTATGAGCACCTTTATGAGGATTGCAAAACATGCACACCATGATTGTTGCTTTTTGACGAAGGTGTGTGTTTTCAGCTTTTCCATTTTTCTCAGAAGAGTGAATTTACGACTGTTCAATTTTGAGGCCTCAATATCTCTGCACTGAGGGCAGGTACAACAATACTTTTTTTTGCAATGGAAACCCGTATGTGTGTAGAATGCAAGTATAGGAGCAGAATTTAGAGCACAAGCCTTTTTAATTAATTACTCATCAAAATTGTAATACAATTCCAACTGCTTTTGCAAATAGATAGTTCATTTTGCTGTAAAATAACTAAGAAAGGCCTAAAAACAAAAAACTCTTGCATACTTTCATTCTATAGTCATTAGTCTCTGCTGGCATATTTTGACTATCACTTTTAATAAGCGCTTTTTTTTCTATGTTGGCCTTAAACAATAGGGGTAAACATAAGTTATCTCAGGAGCAAGATGAGTTACAGGAAAACTAATAAATACTTGAAATCAGCAGAAAAAACTGCATGATCTTGTGCACTTTGATCAAGATCACTAAAGAAATGAACAAAAAATATCTAAGACTAATCTGCCCCCTTAATCATATGGTGGTTTTGGGTCGTTGAACCCCACATATCAATAAAACTATTGTCACAAATGGTTAGTAATTATGCTATTCTAAAGGCACATGCTAAACACATACTAAGGGAAAATGAAACTATTGTGCACCATGCCCAAACAATTGTGGTCACTGCTGATGAAGTTTTTGATTGCAATCCTACGGTTGTGAATGTGCATAGTCAAGGCCCACAATTATAGTTGTTGGTACCACAAGTTCAGGAACATCTTCCAATAAACCTTCCGTTAGCCTCTCTCAAAAAGAACTGTCCTACCTGGGGTGCGCGGCCAGCTGCGCACCAGCCTAATATGGGGTTTGGCAGTCTCTCATCACTTACAAATGCTGGAGACAACACCGTGGAAGCTATTTATGTGATCATCCACCTGCTTGAAAGTTCGCACTCTTTCATAGCGCTGTGACAAGTTCCATAGAGTCGATGTATGAAAGCTTCTGAAATTTCGAACTCTGCAACTATTCGGCATCCAATTTTTCGGTCTATCTACTCCTAAAAAGCATCATCACTCATTGGACTTGTACATGATACAGAAAATACAGATAAACTGGCTTATAACGAACCTCCATATAAGGAATTCCTCAATATAACGAAGTTTTTATATTCCCCGCCGTTACTCCGTACAAGCACATGTATTTGCAACCTGTATGTAACAAAGTAACAGCGGGAGACAACCTTGATATAATGAATTTTCCCCCTTGAGCAAGTTAGGAATTTCGCCCCAGATTTTCGCATTTTGGTACAAGCATGCATCTTCTGCGGGTTCCCTGCTGTCGACGAAGCGCGAAGCGGCGGCGGCGCACACGGGGCACTAGGCGAGAGCAAGCACTCGTTATTGCACGTGTGTGAGGGCCATTCTATGCGCTAGCCGCAACGCGCATGCAGGAACAGCTGTCGCTCCCCAGCGGGGCACAAATGAGTGAATCGGCGACACTCTTTCACCCTCCGCTAGGGTGCAGCAGGTGTGCCGCGTCATGCATTGCGGCTGTGCGGCTAGCGCATAGAACGGTCCTGAGCGTGAGGCGAGCAGGCGGGCCTGCGAGCCAGCGTTGCCGCCCCGTTCTTGCCTGCCGCCACAGGAGCACGTGCGGATGTGCCTCCCTCCTTTCTCCAAACCAAAAAGAAAATACTTTCGCGTTGGCAGTGCCAAGGTGTCACATATGTGGGGCCTGCGCTGCATATATGGAGGGCTCTTTACCGACTACTTTTCGGCGGTATCTGTATCTGTGTCGATGTTGTTAGCTCTTTGTTTTCAATGCCGTGCGTGCATGCATGGTTTCACTGCGCGTGCATTGTGCGGCCCCGTACGACGTTCACGGCGAACCGTCAACACCTTTCATGGCGAACCATAATTTCCTTAAGCACTAATCTGTAAATAAAGCACCGTCATTCATAATGTCATACTCAGAGACTGGAATCACGAGTGGTATCCGAATGAAAACCTTTTATTTTCTGCACGCAGGTAGTTCAACGCATTTCCGAGTAGTGACTCACTATCTGTTAACAACAATGCATTCTTAATAATTTGTCACGCGTCCTTTTTTATACCCAAGAAAAAAGTTTTATAATTGTCAAGTACCCCACAGAACATTGGGCTACAAGCCTGGTGATGCGCCTGAGCTTCAGGTACTTCCCCTTTTCACAGGAAGATGCTCGCTCGACCTAAGTCGTAGGAGTCTTCTGTCATTCCGTTAAGGAAGGGTGTTACCTCTGCTTGGACTTTATCGTCGCTTTTTAAGGGTCCCACTGACGAGTTTGTTGTTTTGTTTCGGGGCTGTAATGAAACACCCATGTGTCATCTCCCGTGACGATAGAGTCCAACATTTTCTCCTTATTGCCTCCCTGCTCCAAGGAGAAGCACTGTACCATTTGCGGACATGCTTAACGAACGTGCATCCTTCACCATAAACTTCAATCAGTTGGTGATGAATCTTCAGGGTGGTAACTTCTTGCGTAGAGAAAACACATTACCGCTCAAACTTTGCACTTAGCGGGAGCAGCAATGAACATTTCCATCTCTGACGGCAGCCAAGCGAACACTTAGCGAGGTAGCGAATATCGGATGGGCGGGCTCGAAAAATTAAGAACCACTAGTCAGATTTAGCTTAGCACCTATCCTCGAGGCTGAAGCTCATAGGGAACCTTACTTTTGGTGCAACCTTCGTAGGTATGACAATAAATTTGTTGGCTGGCAACTTTTAAGTGTTCAAGTGCAAATAACAAACAATAAAAGTAGCTTTAGATCTTGTGACTTTGTTCTACGATTTGGACATGGTAGGCAACTGTACGAGTACTTAAGTATTGTGGCTAGATAAGTAGGTTTGCTGTCTCGTTTGTGTAAAGTTAATACTGAGCTTTTTCATTTTTTTCAACAAATGTGGCACTGCACTGGGGGAGAGAGATTAAATGTTTATTAGTACTTCCCATTAGTAACTAAAGCGGGTGGGGCCCTACGTCCAGAGCTCCACTGACTATTCACCTTTTTGCTCAGTTTCAAGATCGCAATCGCAACAACACGTGTTGCTTCACATGAAACTTCAGGTTATTTCAATTATCACTCTTTTAACACAAAAGCAGAAGGTTTGTTTTTAATGTTGCTAGGAAAAACTTTTTTCCTCTTTCAGGTAAAAGGAACGCACTTAAGGTCAAATACTATATCTTATATTGGTGTGTGTAGCTTAGAAGAAAATATATTTGAAATATTTTGCTAGAGTTGGGGAGAAAGAGTTGGAAATGAGAGGGCTACTTGCTAAAGCCTTTCTTCCCCACCAATGGTACTGGGCTGTGGCGGTGCACAAAACCGGAAGCTGCTTAGGACCTGTGTTTGTAAACAGCGAAATGGTCTATAGCGGCTCATTGGGCCTGGTCGAGGATTGCCAATTGGTTTCCCAAAGCCTGACCTGAGAGTCACGCCGCTCACGACCAATGCGGTAATGTGTGTGATTATATGAGGGCGAAATTTGTCGCAATAAGATGTGAGGGACAACTTTATGTAGTGTGTGTCAGTGTTGGTATCCATCTGCAACAGGGGCACTCATCGCAATATTTGGAGGAGTGTGTGTAGGTTATGTGTTGGTCTGCAGACAAAACGCCAGTCACTCAATAGTGCTCTGTTCAGTTTCGGGTGAGGTGGTGCCATAGTGATGTCGCTCCAGCCGTTGAGCTTCAAGACTGTCAGCTCAACTATTTGTCCCTCATCATAGTCCGGTACTATGGTGTCATCTACAGGTGTGTCCGTCACCCGGTACGTACTTGTGCGAGCAAGTCGGACGGGCCCGTTAATTCACAGGCACCAAATGATGCTGTGGTCAGATACGATGTGCAAACGTAGGATTAAAATAGTTCATGGTATTGTGCCATACATGTAAAATCGATACGCTGTTCGTAAATTCATGAATATAGTGGAGTTTGTATCCGCTTGTCTGCATCTGTGATGGCCAGGATGATTGCAATGTTT